TTGTGCGAAACTGCGCTCCACACTTTGGAATCGTGAGTGGGTTATAAGAGCGATGGTCAAATCCAAGTTCGAAGTTAGAGTGGCCCAAAAGTTAGCGATGTGTGCTGTTAACCAGCTGAACGTCCCTCGAGTCTATCAGTTCGCATGTTTGCATGTTTTGTAACAAATAAGATCATTATTATTAAAATGAAATACAAATACACTTAACGTTGTCCAACTGAGAAACGCATATTACGTAAAAAATTTACATATGTAATTTGTATAATGAGACAGCGTTAATCTGTTTCGAAAAAGATTATACCAAAAGCACACCCTTATATACAAAATAGGTGTGTATGTGTTTTGACGAAAAAATTCTCAAAACAACTTATACAGACCAGAATAAGAACTCGTACATCTCTGTTACTGTTCGTGTATTTACTCTATAACTACTCTATATGTGTAGGCAATACCATCAACATAGAACAGTATGCAAACGTTTTGGCCAAGACTGTATTGGGAGTCAGTAATCTCCCACGCAATCAACATAGGTTTATTCTTCGGGGAGAATTTTTATTTCAATAGTATATAATAATCACAGTGAAAAAGAAAACTTAAGTAATTCTTAGTTGGAGTTGTGCTGTTGCCCAATAAGGGCAGCACCGTATTGGAGTTGTGTTGTTGTCCAATAAGGGCAGCACCGTAGCTTTTACCCAAGATAAGGGCTTTATTTCTTTGATTTGAAACACAAAAAGCTCTTATGTTTTCGTCACCAAACACAGTGATGGGTTTTATTCAATGAATCTGTAACTAGCTTTACTTGGTCGACTTAGAATGAATCTTGTTCGAAATAAACATGAACATGGTTAAAAAATTTCAACATTGAATTAAAGTACAGTGCAGAAACTATTTTGTTTTTTTAAATCAGTAAGAAAAACTAAATTTTTGAAACTTATCCAAATTAAAGTTCCACCATTTCCTTGTACAAAATAATTGAAATGACAACATTTTGAAACTAAAGTAACTGTACTGATGTTTCCTTAGAGCGTTTCGAGTGCATCAACAGTAAGTATAAAGGTAAATGTTATTACATTTGTGAGTAATATTCTTCAGCGATTAGAAAGTAAAATTCACTGAGGGCTCAGCGAGTAGTAAGAAACTTCAAAAAACAAGTTATTTTCTTATAGTGGTGTACAATGAGGTAAAGCACAATCTTATTCTTATGATATTAAAAGACCTGCTTTCCATTAGTGGAATACGCAGGTCTTAACGCAATGAAAGCTTATGCCGAAAGTAAACTTACAAGACTGAAACGATTTAAAGTAATATATGCATTAATAAAACTAATCGTATAAACAAACTAACTGTAAATGTTAATATTATAAATCCATGAACCAGAATACTAAAACCTATAACCATTAGAGAGTATAAAACTATGGATTTCTCGTTCTTCTGACCTATTGAACACTATAATGAACACTATTTTTCACGAATATTCTGCTCAATTTTTCTGATTCACTTTTCTTATTAGAGCTTAGAGCAGTTTTTGATGTCTTATGGAAAACTTATCGTAAGATCTTAGAAACTTATATTTCTTAAAAGTTAGTAAATTTTTTTCATAGATCTAATTGAGGAACTTTTTATAATAATACTGATTACAAAACTGTTTTTCATAGTATGAATATCCAATAACAGTTTTAATTAGGCTAGGTTTTAAAGGGTTGTATTTTTCATCACCAGGTGGCTATATTCAGCCACGTAAAACCCTTGGATGAAATACATTAAATCAAAGTAATTTCATTTCTTAAAACGTGGTAGACCTTTGGAGAATATGATGTATGATAAATCCTCAAAACCATTTTTTTGTCGGCCAATAAGAGCTGCCGCTAGAAGAAAGAGTATATGATGTCATGGTAACTAACATCCGTTTTTTTAGCTGAAATAATAATTGCCATTCTGTTCACATAACAAAGGTATTCAGTTTATAATTTAAGAGATAAACGTCTCTTAAACCGTTAAGGATGTCATAAAACTTCATAGAACTTGATTCAAAAGTTTGTCCCAAGTATATAAAAAGAGATAAACACATTAAAAAATTATCTTGTTTAAACAGTAGAGCCGAATAGACTTTGTCTTTCAAACTTTCTCGTAAAACTATACCATGAAACTAGCTGTTCCTAATTTTCAACCGATAAACTAAAGAGAATGGCACCCAAGCGCGAATCGTGATTTTACGGTAATGAGATGTGAACCATGGTCCTCGAATTCACAATATCGCATGCTCACCACTAGTCCACGCCTGCCTCTAATTAAGTAGTAATAAGGTGTTAATGGAAAACTCAATAAATAATAAAACTAAGAGATAAAAGACAATAAAATATAAAGTACTCTACTTTAGGTGTTTTGTTGTTGTTGTTGTTCATTGAGATCATATTTTAACCTGAAATGATTGATGATACTTTCAATGATCTCGACCATCTTACTCTCTAACTCCTCTTTTCCCTAACATATGGCACTCCACTTCAGATGAAATCCATTCATAGGTGCCTAAACAAATGTTTTGTTAATTTTGCAATAATTCATAACTCTTCGAATCATTAATATACATATTTGTTTGCCACTTACATTTTACGAAAGTTGGTACCGATTAAAGTATAATATTCATTCGTTATTCAATCTATTGTATAATATTAGTACATAACATAATCAAAGTCAGTTCAAACTTGCATGAATCAATAAAAGAATCATTTAATCTAAAGAACTGTAATGTATGCCGACATGCTAGCTATTAAATCTAGTTTTTTTTCGCCTTCAATAAGAGTAATTTGTTCAAAAGTCTCTACACTTATGCAATTGATAAGAGAAAAAAACAAAAGATGTAAAACGTTCGGTAATGTTTATCTCTATTAAACATACATTTTAAAAACTTTTTCCAAATGATATATTGAAAAGAGCTGCTACAGAGAACGTGACTTGAAGCTCTTGATTCATAGGCAAGCATTTATTTCCTCTTCCCGCTTGAAAGGGATGAAACACTAAACTATTTGTAAAGTTTTCTATGACTTTTGGAGACATCAAACATACGTTACTCTGAAGAACACAAAATCTGTTTTTCGGCTATTTCAATCTAAGCATTGGAATTTATACAGCTTGTAAGAAAAGGCAGTTTAATATATGCTCAACGCAAGATTTGTTGAAGGATTGCTTTGTGTCACAATATTACCAAAGATCAGAACAAATACTAGATCCTCGAAACGAATAGTGAATAAACATTGTTATTTTTATCTAGAAAAAAAAGGTTCATTAAATAAACTCTATTGTCCAAACAACAGTCATTTCAGTTTGAATAAGCTGCTACTGAGTTCATTTTAAAAACATATTACTGCTATAGTTGAATAAACTATGTATGCCTGTTGACTAGCACAAGTTTGGAGAATCTAGATTTTCATGTTCACTGTTAACTAGAACAATTTTAGAGAATCTGGACTTTTATGTTCACTGTTTACTAGCACAAGTTTGGAGAATCTAGACTTTTATATTCACTCAACAAGTGCTATAGTATGAACGCCTTTTCCAATCTGGCGAAGCACTATTATAATTGATTATACTTGTCATAGGCCATTACTATTAGGCCTATTATATTTCAAACACTACATTCTTTATTTAGTCCTTTAGAGATTTTCCACAATTAGAAGGGTATACAATAATAATAATGATAATATTTGAACTGCACTATATGCTCCCCACTAAGTTTGTTTGTTTGTAGTTAAGCACAAAGTTGCACAATGGACTATTTATGCTGTGTCCACAACGTGTATCGAAATCCAGTTTCTTGCGCTATAATTCCACAGCCATGCTACTGTGCCATTGAGGGGCTCAATGTTAAGTCTGCAGGTCTACGACGCTAATAAATCGGGATTCGATACTCATAGTGAGCAGAGCAAAGATAACCCATTGTATAGCTTTTCACTTAACAACAGTCAAACCACACTATATTCGCGATATGCACTACCAACGACGCGTTTCGCTCAATCTAAAGCTCATCAGGCCAGATGGAACACAACAAACACAGTAGTAGTCGGAACACTATTTATGTAAGCCATATGTGAACGCCTTTTTCAAGCTGGTTTAAAAAAAATAACAATTCTGATGTCTTATGGCAAGTATAATTAATTATAATCATGCTCATCAGCTTCGAAAAGGTTATTGTAACAAATGGGTTATTTAAATAGTGTTCCGACCAGAACTGTGTTTGTTGAGTTCCAGTCTGCGTGATGGGCTCTGGATTGAACAAAATGCGTCATTGGCAATGCATATGGAGAATATAGTGTATTCGAAATTATCCCTAAGGTACCAGATAAAGAATGTTGCATTTAAGATATAATAGGCCTAATATTAATAACTTATGACAAGTATAATCACTTTCATGTTCAGTGTTAACTAGCACAATTTTGAAGAATCTGGATTTACATGTCCACTGTTTACCAGCACAATTTTGGGGACCCTAATCTTTCATGCTTACAGTTTTCTAGCGGAAAAGACAGAATGAGCTACTACTGCAGCATAGTGCGCTACAGGAACCAAAAATTGTCAAAAACGTTTATTAGATAGTGTCGAATATATTTCCAGCTGTATATATAAATAGAAAGAAATCTGAACAAGGGATTTCTTTTGTTTGGTTATAACTTTATATTAAGTGAAAGATGGGATTGCTCTAAAAAATGGTTTGTGTTCCTTTGTTATTGTTCTTGTTTTCTGTAAAAGCAATATCACTGACTATATCAAGAAACTAATTCCGTTTGCTGTCATTTTCTATAAAACAGGATCACAGATTTAAAAAAATACTGTTATCGGGTTTCTCTCTAAGTTCTAAAAACCAAGATATCCGGTTTGTAAAAATATACATTAGGTCAAGGTTTCTGAGTCAAGAAACAAATGTATAAACATAATTTAAAGCTATTGTTGTTTCTTTAATAAAGGTTATTCCTTTTCAATTAATAAATGTTTTATTGCTCTTTCAGGGCATTGTAATGACGTCCGGCCAACGTTTTCCGAGCCTATTCCGAACATTACAGTTCCAGCTGGCCGAGACATTGAGTTTCCATGTATTGTCGAAAACTTAGGAAATTACAGAGTAAGTACTGCGAAAAACAAAGTGGGGAAAACAAAAATTTCAAATCGATTACACCAACATAATTAAGCTTATACATCAACTAAAACGTCGTCAATATCAACACTGCGACTAGAGTAAATGGTGCTTACAGAGAGTAATTAGTGCTCATAAAAGTTTAAATAAAGCTTGACGAAAAGTAAATCATGTTTACTGAAGAGTAAATAGTGTTTATAAACATGTATACAGAGCTTACTAAAGGTTCAGTAGTTATTGATAAATAGTGATTATTGTTTATTAAAACTAAATAGTGCTTAGTGAAGAGCGAATAGTGCATATAAAAATTTAAATACAGCTCAATAAAGTTTAAATTGTGTGTGCTTAACAATACCTTCCTACCACAGATATTCCAAGATAAATGGCAACACTATCTTAATAATTTAAGCAACACTTAACCTCGTTCAGTGATGAGTAGTAGTTATAATAACATTCTTTAGTGACGAATAGTAGTTATAATAACCTCGTTTACTGACGAGTAGTAGTTATAATAACCTCGTTGAGTGACGAGTAGTAGTTATAATAACCTTGCTTAGTGATGAGTAGCAGTTATAATAACCTTGTTTAGTGACGACTAGAAGTTATAATAACCTTGTTTAGTGACGACTAGAAGTTATAATAACATTCCTTAGTGACAAGTAGTAGTTATAATAACATCGTTCAGTGACGACTAGTAGTAAATAATAACCTTGTTTAGTGACGAGAAGCAGTTATAAAAACATCGTTTAATGATGAGTAGTAATTATAATAACCTTCTTTAGTGATGAGTAGCAGTTATAATAACCTTGTTTAGTTATGAGTAGTAGTTATAATAACCTTGTTTAGTAACGACTAGTAGTTATAATAACCTTGTTTAGTAACGACTAGTAGTTATAATAACCTTGTTTAGTAACGACTAGTAGTTATAATAACCTTCTTTAGTGATGAGTAGCAGTTATAATAACCTTCTTTAGTGGTGAGTAGTAGTTATAATAACATCGTTTAGTGACGACTAGTAGTTATAATAACTTTGTTTAGTAACGAGTAGCAGTTATAATAACATTCCTTAGTGACAAGCAGTAGTTATAATGACATCGTTTAGTGACGACTAGTAGTTATAATAACCTTGTTTAGTAACGAGTAGCAGTTATAATAACATTCCTTAGTGACAAGCAGTAGTTATAATAACATCGTTTAGTGACGACTAGTAGTATATAATAACCTTGTTTAGTGACGAGTAGCAGTTATAAAAACATCGTTTAGTGATGAGTAGTAATTATAATAACCTTCTTTAGTGATGAGTAGCAGTTATAATAACCTTGTTTAGTTATTAGTAGTAGTTATAATAACCTTGTTTAGTGATGACTAGCAGTTATAATAACCTTGTTTAGTGGTGAATAGTAGTTATAATAACATCGTTTAGTGACAACTAGTACTTATAATAACCTCGTTTGGTTACGAGTAGCAGTTATAATAACCTTGTTTGGTGATGAATAGCTGTTATAATAACCTTGTTTAGTGATGAGTAGTAGTTATAAGAACCTTGTTTAGTGATGAGTAGCAGTTATAATAATCTTGTTTAGTGAAGAGTAGTAGTTATAATAACCTTGTTTAGTGACGACTAGAAGTTATAATAACATTCCTTAGTGACAAGTAGTAGCTATAATAACATCGTTTAGTGACGACTAGTTGTAAATGATAACCTTGTTTAGTGACGAGTAGCAGTTATAAAAACATCGCTTAATGATGAGTAGTAATTATAATAACCTTCTTTAGTGATGAGTAGCAGTTATAATAACCTTGTTTAGTTATGAGTAGCAGTTATAATAACCTTGTTTAGTGATGAGTAGTAGTCATAATAACCTTCTTTAGTGATGAGTAGCAGTTATAATAACCTTCTTTAGTTATGAGTAGTAGTTATAATAACTTTGTTTAGTAACGAGTAGCAGTTATAAAAACATCGTTTAGTGATGAGTAGCAGTTATAAAAACCTTCTTTAAGGTGATGAGAAGCAGTTATAATAACCTTGTTTAGTGATGAGTAGTTGTTATAGTAACCTTCTTTAGTGATGAGAAGCAGTTATAATAACCTTGTTTAGTGATGAGTAGTTGTTATAGTAACCTTGTTTAGTAACGAGTATCAGTTACAATAACATTGTTTAGTAACGAGTAGTACTTATAATAACCTTGTTTAGTAACGAGTAGTATTTATAATAACCTTGTTTGGTGTCTGCTAGTACTTATAATAACTTCTTTTAGTGACGAGTAGTAGTTATAATACCCTTGTTTAGTGATGAGTGGCAGTTATAATAACCTTATTTAGTGACGACTAGAAGTTATAATAACATTCCTTAGTGACAAGTAGTAGTTATAATAACATCGTTTAGTGACGACTAGTAGTAAATAATAACCTTGTTTAATGACGAGTAGCAGTTATAAAAACACCGGTTAATGATGAGTAGTAATTATAATAACCTTCTTTAGTGATGAGTAGCAGTTATAATAACCTTGTTTAGTTATGAGTAGCAGTTATAATAACCTTGTTTAGTGATGAGTAGTAGTCATAATAACCTTCTTTAGTGATGAGTAGCAGTTATAATAACCTTCTTTAGTTATGAGTAGTAGTTATAATAACTTTGTTTAGTAACGAGTAGCAGTTATAAAAACATCGTTTAGTGATGAGTAGCAGTTATAAAAACCTTCTTTAGTGATGAGAAGCAGTTATAATAACCTTGTTTAGTGATGAGTAGTTGTTATAGTAACCTTCTTTAGTGATGAGAAGCAGTTATAATAACCTTGTTTAGTGATGAGTAGTTGTTATAGTAACCTTGTTTAGTAACGAGTATCAGTTACAATAACATTGTTTAGTAACGAGTAGTACTTATAATAACCTTGTTTAGTAACGAGTAGTATTTATAATAACCTTGTTTGGTGTCTGCTAGTACTTATAATAACTTCTTTTAGTGATGAGTAGCAGTTATAATAACCTTGTTTAGTTATGAGTAGCAGTTATAATAACCTTGTTTAGTGATGAGTAGTAGTTATAATAACCTTCTTTAGTGATGAGTAGTAGTTATAATAACTTTGTTTAGTGACGAATAGTAGTTATAATAACCTCGTTTAGTAACGATTAGCAGTCATAATAACCTCGTTTGGAGACGAGTAGCAGTTATTATAACCTCGTTTGCTGACGAATAGAAGTTATAATAACCTTATTTGGTGACGAGTAGTAGTAGTAGTTATAATAACCTTGTTTAGTAACGAGTAGCAGTTATAATAACCTTGTTTGGTGACGAGTAGTAGTTATAATAACCTCGTTTGGTGACGAGTAGCAGTTATAATAACGATTTTTTAGTGACGAGTATCAGTTATAATAACCTTGTTTAGTAACGAATAGTAGTTATAATAACTTTGTTTAGTGACGAATAGCAGTCATAATAACATCGTTTAGTAACGAATAGCAGTCATAATAACCTTGTTTAGTAACGACTAGTAGTTATAATAACCTTGTTTGGTGACGAGTAGTAGTTATAATAGCATTGTTTGGTGACGATTAGTAGTTATAATAACCTTGTTTAGTAACGAGTAGCAGTTATAATAACCTTGTTTAGTAACGAGTAGCAGTTATAATAACCTTGTTTAGTAACGAGTAGTACTTATAATAACCTTGTTTAGTGTCTGCTAGTACTTATAATAACCTTGTTTAGTAACGAGTAGTACTTATAATAACCATGTTTAGTGTCTGCTAATACTTATAATAACCGTGTTTAGTGACGAGTATCAGTTATAATAACCTTGTTTAGTAACGAGTAGTATTTATAATAACCATGTTTAGTGTCTGCTAATACTTATAATAACCGTGTTTAGTGACGAGTATCAGTTATAATAACCTTGTTTAGTGACGAGTAGCAGTTATAATAATTTTGTTTAGTGATAAGCAGTATTTACAGTAGCCTTGTTATTGATTAATTATGTTATTTTTAACTTTACCGATGCAAACAAAAATCCTTGCACCCCTCTAGAACATGTAGTATAACCGATTGATTTTTCCACTCATTTAAAATAATTCAGAAGAGCCAATTTCCTTTCTATGGACTTCGAATTAATGTTTCTAACCGTCTAAGACTTCATCTGAGTATAAGAAAAAGAAACATTAATTTGAAGTCCATCGAATGAAAACTTGCTCTTCAGAATTATTCTAAATGAGCCAAAAAAATCGGATGTACCATTTTCTAGAGGGGTGCAAATAGTTTTACATATAATCAAACACAAGACGTTTAAGCAAGAAGAAGAAGAAAATATATATATATACTCACGTAGTTCTTGGTTGACACCATTTATCTCTTAATCGTTACATCATGCAGAATCCTGTTACACAAAAAAACAATAAAGTAAGAGTTATATGTAATCAAAAGTACATGAAGGTTTTTCGATTTACCATTAAAAATTCATTTTCGTACATAACACATCCTGAGAAGGGTTACATTTGAATACTGGATTCTTGAGTTATTGCTCCTAAGTCGCTCTGGTTTCATACATAATGCATGTTCTGGTAATATATTAAATCAAATAGGTTTTAAGTTACGTTAAGTGAATGGGTTTGACAGTTGCTCATGAAATTTTCTTTGTACGTATTACGAAAACTTGCAAGTTTTTAAAGTTAACTTATGAGCAAGATTATTCTAATTTCATTTATCTGTTTTGTAAGATCAATAGATAAAATATATGTTTGTTTGTAGATTAAAAACTTTTAAATATCTAAAACAAAACATAAAATTGCAAAACAGAAATGATCTTTTTGGTGATATGAGACTAATTGAAGGAGAATGAGGATTTTATATTTTAAGTTAAAGATATACTTATTTAGCTGCTTAATTACTGCAGATCAAAGATCGTATAACGTAACTACGTATTACTTGGATTTTGGATTGAATTTTGCTACACTTCCTTGTGACATTGAAGATCACAAAAAAAAACATTAAAAATTAA